ACGATCCTTACTTCCCAGTGTAAATCATATAGTGTTGATCCTTGCAGGATCTAGTAGGGTGTCTAGTTTTTTTTGTTTTTTGTTTTTGTTTTTGTGATTTTGTTTTTGCAACATAATATCGATAAATTTAAACATTTCATAGTTTCAGTGTTAAAACACAAATATCGTTCAGATATTAAATTAGGTTGGTACAAATTACACAACATCTAGAGCCGAACAAGTCAAATATATAATTTTAAGATCAAATAAAAATTTAGTAGTAGTGAACGTAAACTTTAAACGGGTGTAGTCCAATGTTACTTACATCACTTGAAAGTTTTTTAAATTTTGTTTTGTTTTGATTAAATTAGGTTGATACAAATTACGCAACATCTAGAGCCGAACAAGTCAAATATATAATTTTGATCAAATAAAAATTTTTAGTTAAACTTTGTGTAGTCCAATGTTACTTACATCACTTGAAAGTTTTTTAAATTTTGTTTTGTTTTGATTTTTTTTCACCAAATTAGTCAACGAATATACAGTACGGGTATATGTTTTTCTTGTTAACTTGTATCAAGAAATTTAGATTACCACCATTCTCGACAGTCCACTTTGATGTACATGAAATCCTATTTTTGAAAAAACGAGGATTAGTTCTTTGCCTCATTTTGAAAAGATTGTTGGATATTTGAGTCTGAGTATGTCTGTTCTGTGGTATGTCTGAGTGTCTCTGTTCTGTGGTATGTCTGAGTATATCTGTTCTGTGGTAAGTCTGAGTATATCTGTTCTGTGGTAAGTCTGAATATATCTGTTCTGTGGTGTATATCTGTTCTTTGGTAGTCTGAGTCTCTGTTTTGTGGTATTTCTGCATATGTCTGTTCTGTGGTATGTCTTTGTATTTTTGTTCTGTGGTATTTCTGAGTATTCCTGTTCTGTGGTAAGTCTGAGTATGTCTGTTCTGTGGTAAGTCTGTGTATGTCTGTTCTGTGGTAAGTCTGGGTATGTTTGGTCTGTGGTAAGTTTGAGTATGTCTGTTCTGTGGTAAGTCTAAGTATTTCGGTTTTGTGGTAAGTTTGAGTGTGTCTGTTCTTTGGTTTTCTGAGAATGTCTGTTCTGTGGTAAGTCTGTGTATATCTGTTCTTTGGTAAGCCTGAGTCTCTCTGTTTTGTGGTATTTCTGTATATGTCTGTTCTGTGATAAGTCTGAGTATGTCCGTTCTGTGGTAAGTCTGAGTATGTCTGTTCTGTGGTAAGTCTGAGTATATTTATGTTCTTAACTTACATTTGTCTATGTCCTATATACTTCGATATATGTAACTATTTGTTTTCTCGATGTTATTTAGAACTCTTCAATCTTTGAGGGATAAAGATATGAATGATTGAATTAGCTTAAAACAATAGTATTACCGTCCACGTTCGGATATCGAGATGAACTTGTGTAATGTGGACCAGTTATTAACCATTGTGTGTTTAGCCTGTATCGATGTCAGTGATTTAAAGAGAATAAGATTCTATTTATCCTATGATTTAGTGACTATGTTTTATTTGAGTGTTAATTTAGCAGTATGATCTGCGTGTGATTATTTTTAAAAAGAATTCTACATGTATGTGCTTATATTTATAAATCTTAGTATTTTTATATTTATTAGTTAAGCATTTTAAAGTTTATACATTCTAGCACCACTGCTTTTAATGTGTTGATGGTCAGGAATAAGGCCATTGTCGGAACCCACCAGACTGAAACGCATGGTTTCAAAGTATTAATAATAAAGCGTAGTGCATGTGTATAGGCTATTAAGGTTGACATGAAATACCCTTATTTGTAATACCTGATCGCCTACCAGGGTAATGCCGATGTCATATCTTATTTGTATCCCCATCATAACAGTATCTGGGTACTTTTTCTGGTAATTATAAAAATATCCCCCTATAGTGTTTGTATCCCCCTTAACATTTTTTTTCATTTACATTGTACAAGGTTAATTAGAGGAAGACAGTAAAATGTAATCACGGATATTTTTTTTATCTCATAGGCTGGGAACCGCTAACATAATTGACCAAATTTGGTCCGAGGCATCGTTTGAGCAGGGAAACCAAGTTTGTACAAATATTTGTTCTCAGTCCCCTGTGGCCTGAGGGGCGGGACTCAAAAGGGGAAATTTTGCAAGTTCTTTAAAATCTTACGTCTTCGGCCGAAATAAATTGATATTGCCAATATTTGGTCATAAGCATTCCTGTGTGAAGGCGTGGGGCCCAAGAGGGGAAATAAAGTAAATTCTTTAAAATCCTACTCCTCCTGTAGGAGTGAATGGGTATTGACCAAAAATGGTCTGAAGCATCCTTGGGAGAAGATAATCCATCTCAGACCATGGGACGGAAGGGTCAAGAAGGCCCAGTAGAAGAAAAATGGCCAATTTTTAAAAATAATTCTACTTATTTCAAAATGCTTGGATATTGTCATAATTTGATCTGAACCATGCTTGGGTTAAATTTTGTATGAACAGTGGGATTCGGTCCCCTAGGATTCGGGCCCCGGAAGGAGAGGGATGGGGCCTAATAGTGGAAATGGGGAAATTCTTAAAAAATCTTCCTGTGTTGAAGCAATTAGATTTTGTCTAGATGGAATCCCAAACACATCCTTGAGTGAAGAGAACAAGTAGAGAAGTGTTTTAAAACAAACATTGAATCTAACCGATTTGGGGAGGAGGGGCGGGGCTTAATACTGGAATTGATCTATTTTTCTTCAGTTTAAATAAATCAATTGTAGGAAACTTAGCTTAACAAGAATAGCGATACAGGCCCTATGGACCTCTTGCACCTAACTGTAACCCTTCCTGACCCTAGATAGTATTCTGATAGCCATCATAACTGTATCCCCCTAATGGTTTAGATAATTGTCCCCTAAATACTGTTCTGGTGGCTATATAGCCCCCTAATGTATCGTCTTCTAGATACACGTCATTACATTATTCTCTGTTTTTCTTTCTTTCTTTTTTATCTTCTTTTCATCATGGTTATTAAGTATAATACTTTACTCCTAAAGAATCACAAGAGAATACATTTCTGATTGTTATATATAGTATTTCCCTGAAGAGCTGACAAACAGCAAGATTCATTGATAGTAGTCTTGTTTAACAAGTTCGCACTCCTTTCCTCTAACCTTGCAATCCAGCACAAGCATTAAGGGTATACATTGTTGTAATATTTAAATCTTAGATATTATCGATTTTTTTCCTGTACGTGTAAGTATTTACCTACAGATAAACAAGCTGTTATTGCCTGTTGATACATATAAATGACAAATATAGATACTTTTAAAAAAAACCTACTTGGACACTGTCTACACAGGTGTTGTATATATGGAACACTTGACCAGGTGCAATAAGTTAATTTGACACCTATACATGTACCCCTTATTCTGTGCCCAACTAACTGACCACCAACCTAATGTATATACAGCAAATTTGTAAAACAGTTAAGGTTATAGTGTTGATCTCAGGGGGGATACAAATACTATAGGGGGGATACGTGTATGATGAGCAAGAAGCATCCCCAGATACTTTTGTGTTGGAGGGAAAAATATCCGGGTTCTTTTATGCAAGGATTTACAAAATAGGGTATGACATCGGGCTAAACGTTGGGAGAGTTATTGTCGTGTGTTCTAGGACACTTAATAAATGTTTAAGTTCATTATTTGTCACCAAAGACCTTTTCTATAACCGTGGTTCATTGTGAGAAGAGTTTGAAGAGTATGAGTACCCGAAACACCTGCCACTTCAGGATTTTTATTTGCCAGATAAGTGACCAATAAATTTTGCTTTGGATTAAATCTGCCCCCAACATAATTAAACTCACCGTGTATATATAAATCAAAAACGTAAGGAATCTTACAGTCATTTCTATTACATTTGAAATTTATAAGACAAACATTTCATTTTACCAAGTCTCTGGCGAGTTAAAATCAAAAGTTTGTGACGAGTTTCATAACTTTGAAATGAAATGAAAACGAATGTTTCACATAATTAAGATATATATTACGAAATGATAAATATGTAAATCATTCTCCTTCTATGTCCCTTGGTTTAGTGACGACAAAATGCAAATGACGTCACGAAGCTATGACGTCACAGTAGAAGCAATAGGAACCTTCAGCCAATCACGGCTCCGTTCAGTCATATCAAGAGTGATACTGACATACACGCCAGTCAGCTTTACTCTTGTCAATATTGTTTTGTTTACCTGTGCCTTAACATACTGCGACATTCCGAAACCCAACTCCCCGATATTTTCCCAGGTGATGCCCCAGTTTCTCCGATCTTTTTTTCATTGAATTTAACTTTGTTTCTATCACAAACCAGGAAGATATCATCTTACTCATGTACAAGTGTAAATTTTCAGTATTTACCTTGTTTTGCTAAAGGACACCAACGTGTACGTATATATATTTTTATGCAAAGTATGCTGTTATTGTACTCTAATAAACCAGGCAAAAAAAAAAAAAAAACAAACAAACAAGCAAACAAGCAAACAGAACATATCGAAATATATGATGTGTAGTATCCCCTCTTCCTTCTTTCTGTCCCTAACAGGTCCTCCTCCTCTCTGTACTAACAGGTCCTCCTCCTCTCAATCTCTAACAAGTCCTCTTTCTGCAACCCGCCTAGTTAATGTAAGGTTGGATCTATAATAAGGCCAAGAGTCGTCTTCAAAATTACAGTTTAAGAACAGGTTTAGTCGAATAGACGGCCACTATCTACCACATTTCTGTAACCTAATATTTTTCCTCTCTACTCACTTTCTGAGGTTTTTCTCGCCCGCTGTTGAATACCTGTTGAATAAATAAATAAATTAATATTTATACAACAATAATTCAATACTAATATGATGTCCTTTTTACATGATCAGTGTTTATAATTGTTAGGCGCTACTGTCTTGCCAATATATTTTTTTCAGAAGTTTTCCATTTTTCGACGCTGAAATATTGTCACTTCATGGGTTAATTCCGACCAGGTCAGTACCATGGCACAGGAATCCATCAATCAGTTGCGCCAATCCATCGATAAACTCAAGGATGTAATCGATACTGTTGAAGCCAAGCGTTTACTTGCCTCGCGTGAAGCGGATTCTCCGTATCTTACAGAACTGCTATCTGTTTCTGACAAACTCCACATGATTAAGTCTACTGTGGATGCGCTTATCTCAAAATTACCTCAGTCTAGTGAGATTACACAAACAAGACAACCAAAAGGCAGAGGTAAGTTTTCTTGATGTCATCAATCAAAAATAATTATCAACAGATGACCTTGAACATTTAGTATTAAGATCATCAAGAGAACTGGGTAACTTTTAATTGGTATCAGTTATGAGCTGGTCTAGATAAGGAACTAGTGTAATTATCAAAGCAGTCAAGGGTTTTATCACTTATGTCCATATTGTCGCTATTTTTGAATTAGCTGAGTATTGTCTGTCGTTGAATTAGCTAGGTGTTGTCTGTCTTTGAATTAGCTGGGTATTCTCCATTTTTCTATTAACTGGGCTTGTCTGTCTTCGAATTAGTTAAGTGTTGTCTGTCTTTGAATTAGCTAAATATTGTCTGTCTTTGAAGTAACTAGGTGTTGTCTGTCTTTGAAGTAACTAGGTGTTGTCTGTCTGTGAATTAGCTAAATATTGTCTGTCTTTGAATTAGCTAGATATTGTCTGTTTTGGAACTATCTAGGTGTTGTCTGTCTTTGAATTAGCTAAGTATTGTTGGTTTACACCAAGTAAATATATTACTGATGGGATTTATGATATGAAATCCAACGCATCACCAGTCTTTGTTAAAGCGTTATTTCACTGTAGATAAGTTACGTTGCCAGATAGAAAGTCTAACTACTATTCATTCCTAACACAAGTACATTAACAGCAGTAAGCGGTGGTTCTAGCTTCTGTTTTATATTACGTACGATTATTTTTCGACAGATAACAGAGACAGTGGCTTGCCATCAGTCGATTCGACTGCTTTTAGTAAGTATAGTGTCAATTATCTCCACATAATTGTTTAAACTTTAGTAGAAAAATAGAAATTGCAATGAAAAAAAAATAGGTTTACAAAATTGTGTTGTTTGTTCTTAAAAAGTTCGTATGATTTGGATAAATATCTTGATAGATTTCTCACAATCTTACAACATCTTTTAGGTAGCAGAGACAGTAGTTTTCTAGAAGACAAGGAATTCAGCTCTTCAGGTATGTATGAAATATATTCCAAAGCAGATGATATTATCTTTTCATATGATGTGTGGGGATGGGGTGGGGAAGGTGGAGTGGATACGGGGATGTGATGGGGAAGGTGGAGTGGATAAGGGGATGGGGTGTGGAAGGTGGAATGGAAAGGGGGATGGCGTGGGAAAGGTTGAGTGAATAAGGGGTTGGGATGGGGAAGGTGGAGTGAATAAGGGGATGGGGTGTGGAAGGTGGAGTGGATATGGGGATGGGGTGTGGGAAGTGGAGTGGATACGGGGATTGGGTGGTGAAGGTGAAGTGGATACGGGGATGGGGTGGGGAAGGTGGAGTGGATAAGGGGATATGGTGTGGGAAGGTGGAGTGGATACGGGGATTGGGTGTGGAAGGTGGAGTGGATAAGGGGATGGGGTGTGGAAGGTGGAGTGGATAAGGGGATGGGTGGGGAAGGTGGAGTGGATAAGGGGATGGGGTGTGGAAGGTGGAGTGGATACGGGGATTGGGTGGTGAAGGTGGAGTGGATACGGGGATGGGGTGTGGAAAGTGGAGTGGATAAGGGGATGAGGTGTGGGAAGTGGAGTGGATACGGGGATTGGGTGGTGAAGGTGAAGTGGATACGGGGATGGGGTGGGGAAGGTGGAGTGGATAAGGGGATATGGTGGGGAAGGTGGAGTGGATACGGGGATGGGGTGTGGAAGGTGGAGTGGATAAGGGGATGGGGTGTGGAAGGTGGAGTGGATACGGGGATGGGGTGGGGGAGGTAGTGGATAAGGGGATGGGGTGGGGAAGGTGGAGTGGATACGGGGATTGGGTGGTGAAGGTGAAGTGGATACGGGGATGGGGTGGGGAAGGTGGAGTGGATAAGGGGATATGGTGGGGAAGGTGGAGTGGATAAGGGGATGGGGTGTGGAAGGTGGAGTGGATAAGGGGATGGGGTGTGGAAGGTGGAGTGGATACGGGGATGGGGTGGGGAGGTAGTGGATAAGGGGGTGGGATGGGGAAGGTGGAGTGGATACGGGGATGGGGTGGGGAAGTGGAGTGAATAAGGGGATGGGGTGGGGAAGGTGGAGTGGATACGGGGATATGGTGGGGAAGGTGGAGTGGATAAGGGGATGGGGTGGGGAAGGTGGAGTGGATAAGGGGATGGGGTGGGGAAGGGCTGTTTAAACCAAAACAAATAAAAAAGGCGTTCTCCTGGAAATAAGAAACCTTTATGTCGTAAGTTGCGGTCAATAGTAACAAAGTTGATTAAGAATATAGATTGTTTTCACTGCGTCAGATAATTAACGCACAAAACTAATGAGGTATTGATAAAACATAGCTTATTATAATTCCCCTTAAAGCAGAAAACAATTGCGTCTTGTCGGTGGGCCGATTCAATTTTAAACGAATTTCCGTGCTTGTTTAGCCTAATTAATTTCCGTATGTGTTTAACCTGATTAGATACTGTACTTGTTCTGCCTAATTGAATACCGTAGTTGTTCAACCTAATTAATTTCCGTATGTGTTTAACCTGATTAAACACTGTACTTGTTCTGCCTAACTGAATACCGTAGTTGTTCAACCTAATTAATTTCCGTATGTGGTCAGTTTAATTAATTTCCATGGGTTTTCAACCTAATTAAGTACCGCAGTTATTTAACTTAATTAATTTCTGAAGATGTTCAACCTAATTGATTCCCGTTGTTGTTCAGTCTAATTCATTTCCGTAGGTGTTCAAAAGAAATAGATTAAAATTGACATTAAGATTAGGATATCTCGGAATTAATTTGTTTTCAGATTTTTAAAAATCTATGTTGTACTGTAATACTGAAATAAAGAGAACATAAAAAAATGAAACTCAGTCAACGGCAGAAATATCCAGTCTGGTTATAGTAGAAAAAAAAATAAGTACACAATATCAGCGTTACTACTTCCAGATCACCAATGCCCATCTTGTCTGCAACCTCTCCCAAATCAAGTGCAGGAGAAAGAGGATCCAGACAGTTCGCATCAGGACAAAGTTTCCACTGAAAACGAAGATAGCACGCTACAGGAAAAAGTTTCTCTTGACAACGAGGATGACCAAAAGTTCAAACAAATGACTTCATTTTAAGGGTGCTTCTTTTGCGGAAGGCGTACTAAATCAAAGACTTTTCAGTTTAGTAAATGATGAACAGAAAAGCATTCATGTATGTGTGGAAGAGACACTTAAAAAAGCGAATGCTTCTTGTGTCATGAAAAAGTGAAAATCTCTAAGGATATGATATACAAAGACAGGAAAGTGTTTGCGAAATATCAAATCATATTTACAACACAAAGTTCTTAATAATTATTAGAAAGAAAAGTTATTTCATCGAGACGATGAATTGTATACTGTATGACGTCATAATTGTTGCCATAGAAACGGTAAACGCACACTGGCACAGGCTGGCTATGATGTTTATAGTTGATATAAAAGACAAAGCCACGCAAGGAAATATTAGCGGTATACCGATTTGCCAACTTGTCTTTAATAACGTGGGCAACGGAATGTTGTTAAAAGGATTAGAGACGGTTGAATTTTGAAAGACGGTTGAATTTTGCTCCGAGGATTTTGCTGGGTTTTGCCGCTTTGTATGTGTTTTTCCTCCTTTGGATTCGGTGAAGTTGGTAATGTGGAATCAGTAACTGTCTATGAATCTCTGAAATATTGACCAATACTGATAATATTATTACGGAAATAAGTAATATTTGCCGTACAAAGAAACATTTGTTTTTCATGGTTGAGTGCCTCTTCACATGTATTCACCTGTATTTACCTGTCCGCACGTAATATTATTCTTCGCCTTGTAACCTGTAGCACTGTATTATCGTTCTGTCTACCATGTCGTCTATTCCTGAAAACACTCCAGTGTCCGAGCGCCAAAATAGAACAATAAGTCAGACATTCAGTCCATCTGAGTATGAAGTGGTTCATGGAGTAAATGTTGATGCTCCCCCAGCTATGAGGAGGAGAAATTCTATAACAGATCTCTCTCTAGCGAGTAATCTGAAAGTAACCCACCAGGGTAAACTTTTTGATCTACATGACCTAATTCAAACCTCAATGCAGAGAACTGAGTTTGTTCAAGCAGTCGCTCCCCGTCTTGCGGAAGCCATCAGCCCTACCCTAAAATCCATGTTTAAAGAATTAGTGGAGCCATTGACCAACCAAATTGCGTTGTTGAACACTGAAATAAAAAATATCTCTTCACGCCAACATGTCGAAATATCTTTACTTAAAAATGAAAACAGTAAACTCCATGCTGAAGTACAGTCTTTGAATGAAAAGGTAGACATTCTAGAGATAGGCCTCGAGGAGCTTGAACAATATGGCCGGAGAACGTCCCTCCGTTTTCACGGTGTACCTATGACAGAGAGTGATCTCCAGCGTACGGACGAACTTGTTGTTAATATATGTAATAAGAAACTTGCCATATCACCACCACTGGCTACTGAGGATATTAACCGGTCACATATCATTGGCAAGATAAGAAACGGCAAAGGTCAGATTATATGCCGATTCAGGAACTGGAAGATTGAAAATAAAATATATATGTCTAAAACAGCTCTCAAAAACCACAGATCGGGATCTTTTAATGTGTTCATTTCGGAAGATCTTACAAGCCAGAGGCAAAAACTCATCAGTGATCTTTCTCGTGTGAATACTGTACGATTCAATCCTGAAGTTGATGTTTGTTGGTATTCACGTATGTACAACTTACCCGTACACAGGATTTTCAACTTTGTTTGTACAATGTGTTTAAACAAATAAGATATAGTGGAGTTGTTGTTCAACTAGTTACATGTACCAGATCATACAGTTATGTTAGTGAGTAGTGTTCTAACGTTTCATACCAGACCTTTCGATTTATATTGAGTGGTTTATTTTGTGGTAGTGGTTCGCGGAATTGACATGGTCCCGGCAGTCGGCGTGATGTGATGAGCGCAGCCTGGAAGTCTGATTGTTTATGGACTTTTTTGTCAGTGTGTGGACCGGAGTGAAGTGTAGTTTGTTCTACTTAGAGTGGTGCTATAGACATTAGTAAGCTGATGGTAAAGAATGATGATTTAGCTGCGGGCATCATAAAAATATGTTTTTTTTTCACCACGGTGGCCTGAACCATGACATCACTTGCCACAACATCCACATCAAGTAGGTTGTGTGCTATTCAAGTTTTGAAACACCGATACAACTTAATGTAATGACTGTGTACTTGTTATACTTATATAGTAATTCTCATATTCCTGTGCCGAAAAAAAGGGAAAACGCAGGGGTACGGGAGGGGACTTCCTAGCGTTTTTGCCTCTACGAGGGCTCCTCGGGGGAGAGTTTATTTGTGGCATGGTGGTGGCACGAAGGGTCAGCGGCGGGAATCATGAAGTGGCGTCATGAGGGGTGCATTGTGGGATCATGGTCTCGTGGCGGGTGATTGCTGTAGCGTTGCGCAGGGGCACATGCGCTCACTGAAATTTCAGTGTGTATTTGTGTGTGAGTGTGTGTGTGTGTGTGTGTGTGTGTGTGCTTTTGCTCGTCGCTGCAATGGATACTTGTCCGGGGACTGTGACGTCGGTGGTGCGTTGTTGTTTGTGGCGTCATCGGTTCTCGTTGATTTTTGTGGTGTTACCATGTTGCAGATGGCCTTTCCCCTGGATGGACCTTCGGGGAGGCGGAGGCGCTGGTTGGTCTCTTCTTGAATTCTTGTTTTTTCGCTATCTATTTATATACATATACATGTACATAAATTCTGTTGTAGTTAGTGTTGGTTGTGCTACTGAGATATAATTGCCATCTTTCCAATCCAAATCCGTTTTGAAAACCTGGAGCCCTGTCGGAATCATTATGTTAATGTTCCTTACAGCTCATGCTTTTGTAAAAGTGTTCATTCATTGTTTGCTTATTTTTGTTGCCTTTTGTCAAGCTCTGTCCTCTGGTTGCTTTCCCCATTATAACCTTTGTCGGATTGTAATTTCTGTTTTGAACCGTATTGCCTGAAAAGCATTTGTAAGAGATACGTATTTGATAATGGGTAATAATATTATGTGTTACAGGATGGCAATAGGTATTTTTTACAATAAGGTCTACGGGAGGTGTTTTATC